AATTTCTTGATAACTATACTTTATTTTACTTCAAATTTATTCGTAAATTTAATATAAGTTGGTCATTGAACTTAAATATTTGCATGGTCACTCCAAACCACTTTTCTAATTAGTTAATGGATATAGCAGTGACCAATGTGAAGCAAAATTTTAATTTAGTGACTAACTCTAAAATAAAATTAAGTGAAATAAAAAATTTACTAAGAGTGTGTTTGATTGACATGAAAAATATTATTTAGAAAAGAAAATATTTTTCTTGTTTTAAAGAAAACAAAAATCACGTCCCCAAAGAAAATATTTTTCTTAAAAGCAAGAAAAATTAAGTATATTTTCAGAAATTGGAAAATATTTTTAATGAAAAAAATAACAATTAAGCACCCAAAGTAAAAATTTAGGTGAAAAATTGATATTTTTCATGAAAAATAAATATAATCAAACATATTTTAAATGTTTATTTTATAGGAATTTTATTAATTGATTTTTTAACCATCAAACATAAAGTGAATTCTATACAAAAATTCGAAAATGATGATTAGAATATAGAAATGACAGTCAAAAAAATGTTAAACATGGTTTAAGGGTGATTAACTGCCACTAGTGTATTTAACATTGCTGATGTCTCCTAAAACCCTAATCAATTCGAAACTCGAAAGAAAGAAAGTTCGAAAAATGGCGAAGAGAAAAAGGAGAGAAATTGAAGAAGAAATCAACAAGGAAGCACAAAATGATGTATCAATTGCAAACGGAGATTCTGAGTATCACAAGAATCAGCCAAAAAAAGGAGCAGCAGCATAGAGCAAAAAAGAAACAACGGAAAAATAAAAACGACGCTGTATCGTCAGAAAATGAATGCCCCCCTTGGGCATTGCTGTTCCAGGGTCCATTATCTTTAACACCCAGTCCTTTGAAATCGCGACCCGGGTACTTTCTATTTGCCCCATACCTGTGAAAAATGTATTTTTTAAGAAATGGTGTGTATATATTGGTGTATATTTTGTTGATTGGTCTATATGTGAAGATGATGAAACTTTGAATCAATTAATGGAAAGGTTTTGGCTTTTCTGTTGTAGTAGAAAACCAAAGGTGTCTTTTTTCCAGTAAAAGTGATTTCCTGTCTGTTCAGTGTTTGATAATTGGACAATCTAATCAAAATACTTAACTTTGAATTCATTGTTTTAAAGATTTATGTGGTTAGGTTTGCATTTAGATGAGATATGAGATGACAAGGCGCATGTTTTTCAATAGAAAGAGTTGTTGCGCTCCTTGTTTCATAATTGGAGAATGTAACGAAAAGACTGAATCTGTAAACAAATTAAATAAGAGTTTTTCAATTTGTACTTTGAGGTGGGTTTTGCACATTATTTTGAATTAGCAAATAACAACTTGCAATTATTATTATTATTGTTATTGTTATTATTTTGTCTTTAGGTTCTAGTTGAAGTTCTTTTTTCATCGATCTCTGCTTTGTCAAAGAATTTGGAAGAGCCGGACCCTAAAAGCTAGCCGTTGAGATTGGAGAACCCAAGCCTATATAAACCGAACAGAGAAAGTCCATACTTCCGATGTGGGATTCAGGTGCCCATGTACCCCAATGAAAACCATGACAATTCACCACGCTTCTGACTCGGCGTCCAGGTCGAGTAGGTGCCCATTCAACCTAAGTGGTAACCGAGATCAGAAGAGATGATGCCTGCTCTGATACCATTGTCATAGAACTTGGAAGAGCCAGACCCAAAAAACTAGCAGTTGAGATTTGAGAACTCAAGCCTATATATACCGCACAAAGGAAGTCCATACTTTTGATGTGGGATTCAGGTGCCCATACACTCCAATGGAAACCATGACATGCTTATGTTCAATTTTGTTTCCCCTTTAGTTGGCTTGTCAGATTGCTCATGCTGCCCACCATTTTTCGAGTTGATGAGATTTCTTTTACTATGGCTGTTTCTTTCAATATGAGTTTATTAGTGGAAAGGACTAATCTTTATTGGTTTTGTTACTCTTCTGCTATCAATCTTAATATGGGTGATTCGAGGACACAGATTTACGTGGATCTGCCTGGAAATTTTGTGCGTACTTTTATGAGATGGGTTCACTTGGAAAATTGGTTTTTGCGTATCAGAAATTTAGTTAAAAAGAAAAATATAAATTTTCACAGGCGTGCTGAACAGTTTCAGCTGCCCTAATCATCAAGGTTCCACCAGCCCATGGAACTTATAGAAAGGAAGCTTTGAAGAGGGGTAGTTAGCCTTTAAAGTGTAATGGCTTCATAAGATGCAATTGTTGTCATGGTTATGGTTTGAGCATTTTAGGTTTCTGTTTGGGCCCGTCATATCATGTATAGAGATATCAGAGATGTAATTAGCTGTTGATTTGTTTATTGTTAAAAAGAAATTGTAGGTATGTTTTTGTGCTTGTTTACACAGATTGTTGTATTTGACAAGAGTACATTAGAGGATGATTCAATTGATGTGGTTGAAAATAATTCGGATGAGTATGAGACTGGTGCTGCTTTTCTTATCAGAATATTGAGGTATCTCGAGAAACCACAGTATCTCAGGAAGGGTCTTTTCCCCAAGCATAGGTTTAAGATTTGTGGTGCGTATCTAGTATTTGTTTTCATATCTGAATGAAAACAATATATCTGCACTGATACTCATTTTATTCTTTATTCTTGTTTTTTGTGCACGGCCTATTGCTCCCACTTGATGCCCCACACCATTTGCGTTATTATGAATGAGCTTCTTACTGGGAAGGTAGAACTCCAAACCTATTGTCTGTTATTATTCATGTGCACTAATTTTGTTAAATTCCATTATAACGGGTTTCAAACATGGTTGATACTTTTTAAGCTAATGTTTGTTATTTTTTTAAATGCATTTTTTTGGAATTATTTTATTGATTCATATTGAGGCTTACTTCTCACTGCACCTCTAGGATTAAACCTCCAAAATGCCTCGCTATCTGAACTAGCCTTTATAAATATTTGAGGTGTAAGGCATTCCTGGACCTGTCTTTTTCATTGTTACTTTTTAAGGGAAAAATAAAACAAATAAATTGAAACTTTGGGTTGAGCGACCCAACCTGTTTGACAGCTTACACTTGATCGCTGAACTTTTAGGTAAAGTTTCCAGTTGGCTAATCGAATTGTAGATGCCATGACTTCCCACACCAGTAGGAAATTTGACAAGAACTAAGTAATGGTTTTTGGGGCTTGTCGTCTGTGTTTAAGTTTTTGGTGTTCACACACACACACAGACGTGTCTTTATGTGATTTTCCATTTTATTTTTTCTGAAGCTATTTATATATCATTTCTCAAGTATATATATTTATATAGCATTATAAAATTAGTGCAAAGTTTGCCACACGATGGTTTACACTGTATCACTGAAGTTCAACAAGTTTCATGGCAGTGACACTACTGATTTTGCACTTAGAGTAATTTACCAATTACCATGTATGCATACTTATTGTTGATTCATATGATCGGAGCAAAGTTTGGGCATATGATGGTTTACACTTGATCGCTGAACTTCAGGTAAGTTTCATGTCGAAAATATTTTTGCTGATGCCTCTGACTTTGATTCTAAGGAAATTAACCCACCTTTGTATTTTATACAAGTTAAAGTTATATATTATTTTAGCTTTGTTATTTTATTTTTTATTTTATTTTTTGTTTTATTTTTTGAGTTTTGGTCATAGCTTTGTGGTATTGATATTACTCTAGCTTTAATTACACTCTATCTGGGAGTCCATTCATTTGATAGCTTTGCAATATCAACTGAATGTGATTGAATTCTCTTTTGAAAGTCAACGAAGTCTTTTGCGAGGTATAAAGGTGTTTCTCTCTGCCCCTTATTTTTTATAGTTAATACTTTAATTGTGATGTGAATGATTGCTTAGAAAATTGTTCATGGAGAATTTAGTATGGATTTTACTTCATAGTGTTTTTATCATGTTAACAAGAAAAATTACTAATTAGTAGCTTCACGTGATCTTGTTTGAATCGGTACATTTTATTAGAAATTATTAGTTTTACCTGAGCTGATTGATATGGCACATTTTTAAAATTTTTGATATCTTTCTTTTTTCTAGGTATTACACTGAAAAATCAAGATCAAGGTTCTGTGGGGACCCTTCTTGATGTGGGTCTTGGCATGTTTCGGTTTATTTGCACTTAATCTTATTCCATGCAGTTGTTTGTAATTGATACGTTCAGATATTTCTTGTATAAACTTCATTTTTGGTTAAGTTTTATCAAGGCACAAGCATTCTGTGTGTCAGAAAACCTTTCTCCTTTCCCTTAGTTGATTTCTTCTCCATTGATGATCACACAACTATCTGATGAACCTTTTCCAAACAATTCGGTTGTGGTGCTGTAACCTTTCTCCATGAACCTTTTCCAAACAATTTGGTTGTAGTGCTGTAATCTTTTTCTCTGTTCNGAATTTGGCAGGCACATCGTTTTAGAAATTCCTTATTTCACCAGGATCTGACCTTTACAAAACTTGAGTTCTATGGAATGAAAATTGATTCAGGCAGAATAAAATTTTTCACGTTTCTGATTTACAGGGGAAAAATGTGTGCGAGTCTTTCGACTTATATTTGAGCACATGCCCTTGTCAAGGAAATAGAACATTCGGACAGAGGTAATTTGTGCAGTTTTTTCTCATCTTAATTCATCAAACGGGGAACATTCTCTCCCAATAAGTACATCCGCAAAGAATTTACGTCTGCAAACAGGGAGCAATCCTAATATCTCCAGTATTTTCAAAAGCCAATCAACTGTGTTTCACGCAAATACGAGCATAGCTTAATTGCTCGACCCCGTTGAAAAAAAGAAGTTGGTAACTTGAGATATTTGCAAAAACGCCAAGAAGGTGAGATCCTGTCACGAACGCATTGAACCTTGAAGAACATGTATTGACTAGAAAATTATCCATTGCCTTGTGTACGTCTCATGGGAAAGATTCGACATTATTAAAGTAGAAATTGTACTAGGCCAGACTAATACATAATGTACAATATCATCATATATTAAAATGTCAACGGGTATAAATATTAGAATTACGTAACTTTAATAATTCGAATGGTGTAAGCAGTTTCCATTTGGACGGTTTTTCGACATGTTCTCTGAGCCTTTTCTCCAGCAGCCCATTTGTCACGATGATTGTGAGGTATGATCCAACTGTACTGTATTAAAGAAGTTTGGTAGCGAGTATAGGACTGGACAATATTAATATAATATTGTCGTACTACCAATTTTATCTCCAACACTAAAAGTTTCGTCAATTTTGATTTTCGTACCTAATTTTGTGGGTGCAGGTGGGAAAATATCAGACAGTTTTTTATTATACCTAGGTATAGATGTTTTTGTGTATGGGTGTCACAGGTTAGGAGAAAAAATTTAGTAACCAATTAAATAAAGAGTGGAGCATGGTATGACTTTGGTACTTCTTTTATTCTTATCAAGTAAACTGTCGACTAATGTGAGGACGTAATTAGAGGCTCATCTTTTATGTATTCCCACACTGTCTGAAAAATGTGGAGTCGGCACGACACTTGGGTCCCATGCTGATTATAACGTGTGCTGATATTATTAATGGTCTCTAGACTTAAGTGGCACGTTAATAATGTGAATGGAACATGCGACCTGATCAAAGAAACAACGTAAAATGTTTGTTTATAATTTATTCTCATTGCTGAAATTACTTTAAAGGCTCAATCTTGCTGGATATACATGAAACAGTTGGTGGTTGTGCTTAGGTATTTCAAGAGGCAACTGCATAATTAGTACATCATTTTACAATAACCAACTAGTACAGTCAATGACAAAATCAGCACCTGGTGAGCCATGGCAGTCGTTCGTGCTGGTTCTGTCGCAATTTATTTCCTTATATTGGGCAGCCGTCTAGCAACAGCGCGCTACCCTGACGCTGCCTTAGCTCACGCTCTGGCCTGGCTCCGCCACTGACGACGGTCATATTTTAACAGGCTATATATCAGTAAAGTGCCCGCAACAGTATTTTAATATAATGAAATGATGGATCCAATCACTGTGAAATGAAAGAAGCCAATTGCTTAATCAAATCCTTTGCTTTCTCAGTATGAGGATCCATTACATGGAAGCAATGATCTTCTCCATCAACTACCACTAGCTGAACTTCACCACTCCACCCACTTTTCTTCAGAGTTTCAGCATAAAGAATCCCTCTCGGCGTCATAAGATCCTTCTCTGCTAAACAAACCAGTACCTTCGAACACTCCAACCCGGTTAAGCTTGGCGCGTCCTCGGAAAATGGATTGATCATCGGATTGTCAATCCCGCCAGGGGCTGATGGATAAGCACATGACCAAACCCTATTAGCCAAATGCTGTCCATCGAAATCGTCTTTTGATTCTGACCCAATTGGCTTTGATCCCCAGAAAAAAGGATGAGATAGAAATAAGCCCAAAATTTTCACATCCCCAGGCAAAGGTTCCACCCCAGCTCGGAGAACTATATAGTGCGCTATATTGGCTCCGGAGCTATCACCGCCAACATACAATTTACCAAAATCGCCATGTTTAGTAATCCATGGATCCTTTTCGATACTGGTATTTGCAATAAGGTGCGAAGCCACCCATTGAAGGGCGGTCCATGAATCTTGATATGCTATAGGCAGAGGGTGTTCAGGGGCGAGCCTGTAGTCAACAGAAATGATTAAAGCTTTGGCTTCGGCGGTTAATATGTCAGTGAAAGGGTGGAAAAGGGCAGAGTAGGGGGAATCCACGACAAATGCACCGCCATGGAAGTAGACTAGGACCGGGAGTTTTTCGTCCTGGTCTGTCAGCTTTGGGAGGTATAATCTGGCTTTGACCTCCGGTGAAATGCTTATGTCTTTAGAGGCTACTCCGGTGGTTTGGTTCTCCAGCGACGGCGGGACATGGGACGTCCTCCTCAGCCGCTCGACGGAGCCATCTTTGTAGACTTTGATGAGCGGAGAGAGATCGTGGAGCACTTCATCGGTGGTGTTGGAATCCATGGGAGGGAGCTTAATCACAGTCTTGATTGGTAAGTTGATTATATCGTCTTATGCTGGTTAGGTTAGGTGTCAAGTACTCATCTTGACCCACCATTTTGTGAATGAGTGATTATTATTTCATTAGAAACTTTGAAATGACAATTTTAATTTTTCTGGTGAAAAACTTGTACTGATTGGATGAATGTTCTTTCATTTGGAATATAAATTGATATATAACAGTATAAAGAAACAAAAAACTTGTATAATCTTTTTGGGCGTAAAAGACAAGAATAATCATCTTATTTTAAAAAGTGATTTTTCTAGAGATCAATCGAGAACTCTCGATTTCACTATTAACTTTACTCGCATTCAATTCATATTTCAGTCCAGTTATTGCGTTATCTTTTAATAAATTCAAGATAAATTATTAACGTTTGTCTTTCATGTATTGATCAAACTACTAAATATCAAACTTTCATCTCAATTAATATTTTTACAAAAGTGAAGCGTAAGAGCGGACATATAATCTCTCAACACGACATGCAACAAATGTCATGTAATTTAACTCTAATTAACGGACATGAAAATAAATCGATCATGTCAATTTAACATAATTTAAAATGAAGAAAAATCCAAAATAATGAATTAAAACATGAGTTAAAGTCAATCAGTTACATCATTCGATCTAACATGTAATCTCACAAGAAACATGGTGAAGGAATCAAAACAAGAATCTCTTAAGTTTTTTCCTTCAACCCCAAAAACCTGAAATTCTCGAAGCTTGGATCTTCAGTAATTTCTTAGAACCTAAACTTGATTTATCTCTACAAGATGAATGTTGTGTTTATAGATACTGATAAGTTTTGAGTTTTGTCATAGGAGATGTTAGGATGATTCTCTCCACTCGAATTATTAAGTCTGATTGGATTATTTTGTTGGCCTTGGAAGTTCTGAGCAAAGCAACCTGCTCAGTAAGTGATGGATCAATGGCGACTACTAGATACTTAGATTATTGATGATTTGCCCCCCACAAGTTTCACATGTCGAAAGAAGTACTTGAACCGTGTTAAATAGTGATTCAATCACATCAAACTTCGCTCACTCATATCTCAAACACATCATGTACTTCTATGACATTCTTTTTTTATATATTCATTATGATAAATCTCGTGGAGGCATGTGAGATGAGAATATGGGTCTTATCTATCTTTTCTAAGAATTGTGTACTATTTGAGATTAAGTTGATGACATCTGTCCTCAATTGAAAGTTTGGATTCCATGAGGATAAGGATTCTCAATTGATAATCACAATTGGAGGCATAAAGTGCCCAACTAGAACATTGTTCTTATCAATTTCGTGGTTTGCTATTGCGTGTTTTTATCATTATCTTGCTTCTCTTTGTTTCCCGATAGAAAATTTAAACAAAGAAAAACGAGTAAATTGGATAAAAAAGAAATAAGGAAAATAATTAAAACTAAAATTAACTAATCAGAAAAGATAAATAAAACAGTTATCGGCAATAAACGTCAAAAACTTAATAATTTTATGTTATAAGTGGATGGTATCATATACAAGTAATAAATGTGGACTAGTTATCTAACTATTAGATTTAATTAAATACCTGCCTTAATTAATCAAGAGATACAAAATCAATTATTGCAATTTGATAAATAAACAATTGAAAATAATGAAGTAATTCTTGAGATTTAATCCAGTCACAAAAAGCACTAGGATCCCAAATTCACCATCATTAACATGTTATATTCTAAAACTGTTCGTTATTAATTAATTCTCTTTTACGTTGAGAATTGATATTCCTTATGTGAATAGATAAAAAAATGAATTACAAGGCCAGAATATAATAAAAGATTTCTCTAAACTGTAGAAATACATAATTTTCTCCGATAAGATCTAGCGTTGTTTGTATTAGAGCTGGAAAATAAATTACTTTTTGGTATAATCATGAATTCAAAAAATAATCCTAAAATTAGTTGAAGAATAGGTAGTCAAAAATAATTCAACAATAAACAATCAATCCCCATCAAAAAAAAAAAAAGAAAAAAAGAAAAAGAAATGTTAGCAACAAGAAGTCTATCCTATCATATTTTATCATCAAAATGAACGATATAAGATAAGATGAGCGTATAAATTTGAATAAAAGTTTTACACGACTGTTAGCTCATGTTTGGCTTACCTAAAAATCAGCTAGTTATCATAATTTGACACTTAGCAACACATATTTGCTATAAATATTTTTGTCAAAGAATCTACTCATTTTAGGTGTTGACAGATTAGGTTACATGCAACCTTTATCTTATGAACAATTCTGGACGTACATAATTAATTTTCACAAAAATTGGTCAGAAAAGACACAAAATGGGGTGGGTGGGTGATTTTTTAACAATTTTTATCAAACCATGGAGCCCATCGCATGTGAGAATTCTGGCAAACTTCTATATTGTTTTCTTCTGTACATGCAGAATTTTTCTTATCTTATTTACCAAAAATGTGACATTACCTTGCCTTCTAGAAGACATTGTCTAGGTCTAGTGTCTAATGAGCTCGCGTTTGGCTTGGCCTCACTATTCTTCATTAAAGTATAATTTCATTTTTTTTTTCTCTTCTTATTAAATTACACATTTTTTAACAAAATAATATTACACGTAAATTTAAAAAAAATTCTTTCTTTTTTAACCAAACATTCTCCTAAAAGTTTTAACACTCTCATTACAACGTGAATAATGAGGTCAAATGAGAGATGAATTTATTTATTTTTCACTTTATAATTCAGTAAAAGTGGAATGATTTTTGGAGTAGGAAAGACTGCTTCGTTTATAGTCATAAATTATCTATGAAAAACTTATGTAGCCCCCATTGGTGGAATTAAAATCAATTTTTTTAATAAATTTTAATAAAAATTGATGAAATACTGTCGTCATCCATATCAAAATATGACACCACACAGTGAATTACACAGAAGGATGAAAATATTCGTCCGACAATTTTATTTCCACAAGAAGATGATGATAACAACATAAACAGAAGAAAGAAAAACATGAGTAATATAATCTCAGTATGAAATAAAAGAAGCCAAGCGCTTGATCAGATCCTTTGCTTTCTCTGTTTCAGGATTGAACATATGGAAGCAATGATCTTCTCCTTCAACCTCCACCATCTCCACCTCCCCATTCCAGCCACTTTTCTAGCGTATAAATTTGAATAAAAGTTTTACACGACTGTTAGCTCATGTTTGGCTTACCTAAAAATCAGCTAATTATCATAATTTGATACTTAGCAACACACATTTACTATAAATATTTTTGTCAAAGAATCTACTCATTTTAGGTGTTGACAGATTAGGTTACATGCAACCTTTATCTTGTGAACAATTCTAGACGTACATAATTAATTTTCACAAAAATTGGTCAGAAAAGACATAACATGGGGTGGGTGGGTGATTTTTTTAACAATTTTTATCAAACCATGGAGCCCATTGCATGTGAGAATTCTGGCAGACTTCTATATTGTTTTCTTCTGTACATGCAGAATTTTTCTTATCTTATTTACCAAAAATGTGACATTACCTTGCCTTCTAGAAGACATTGTCTGGGTCTAGTGTCTAATGAGCTCGCGTTTGGCTTGGCCTCACTATTCTTCATTAAAGTATAATTTCATTTTTTTTTTCTCTTCTTATTAAATTACACATTTTTTAATAAAATAATATTACACGTAAATTTAAAAAAAATTCTTTCTTTTTTAACCAAACATTCTCCTAAAAGTTTTAACACTCTCATTACAACGTGAATAATGAGGTCAAATGAGAGATGAATTTATTTATTTTTCACTTTATAATTCAGTAAAAGTGGAATGATTTTTGGAGTAGGAAAGACTGCTTCGTTTATAGTCATAAATTATCTATGAAAAACTTATGTAGCCCCCATTGGTGGAATTAAAATCAATTTTTTTAATAAATTTTAATAAAAATTGATGAAATACTGTCGTCATCCATATCAAAATATGACACCACACAGTGAATTACACAGAAGGATGAAAATATTCGTCCGACAATTTTATTTCCACAAGAAGATGATGATAACAACATAAACAGAAGAAAGAAAAACATGAGTAATATAATCTCAGTATGAAATAAAAGAAGCCAAGCGCTTGATCAGATCCTTTGCTTTCTCTGTTTCAGGATTGAACATATGGAAGCAATGATCTTCTCCTTCAACCTCCACCATCTCCACCTCCCCATTCCAGCCACTTTTCTTTACAGTCTCAACATAAAGAACTCCTCTCGACCTAAATGGATCCTTCTCTGCTACACAAACCAGCAGCCTTGAACACCCCAGCCCCGATAAACTCGGCGCATCTTCTACAAATGGATTGATCATCGCATTGTCAATCCCACCAGGAGCTGACGGATAAGCAAATAACCACATCTTACATGCTACATTCTGCTCAATTTCTTCTTTTGTTTCGGACCCGATTGGCTTTGATCCCCAGAAGTAAGGATGAGACAGGAATGCGCCCACAATTTTCACATCCCCGGGCAAAGGTTCTGCCCCAGCTCGGAGAAGAATATTATGAACTATATTGCCTCCAGCACTGTCGCCACCTATATAGATTTTACTGAAATCACTGTGTTCAGTTAGCCATGGTTCCTTTTCGATGCCCGGTTTTTCAGTAACGTGCGAAGATACCCATTGAAGACCAGTCCAGGAATCTTCATATGCTATAGGCAAAGGGTGTTGAGGGGCGAGCCGGTATTCAACAGAAACGATTAAAGCTTTTGCTTCGGCCGCTAACATGCTAATGTAACGTTTCTCGAGGGAATTGAAGGCGGATCCGATGCAAAATCCACCGCCATGGTAATAAACCAAAACTGGGAGCTTTTGTTTTGGTTCTGTGAGTGTTGGGAGGTATAGTCTGGCTTGAACCACTGGCGTAATGTTCAAGTCTTTAGAAACTACGCCAGTGGCAGCGTCATCCGGCGACGGAGGAACATAGGGTGAATCAATGAGCCTCTCGACGGTGCCATCTTTATATAGTTTGATGACTGGAGAGAGGTCGATGAGAACCTCTTTGTTGGTGTCCGAAGCCATGGCAATGTGGTTGATAGAAAGAAAATCAGTAGATAGCGTTAGATTTATAAACTAAACATTTGTCGGTGAACTGTACATGCCAAGAGATTCCGTAAAGAAAAATCCTGCGTAATTGTGAAGAAAAATTGTAGGGGCCGTAAAGATTGGGGTTTAATTTGATTGGTTTGCTTTCATGAATGCTTTTGATTTTTCATTGCAGATAAAGATACTTTTGAAATTATAACAATCTGTCTCTTATTTTTCGCAATTCAACTTGGACTTTACTTGTTCGAGAAGAATTTTGCCATTTCAAAACGTTTTGGCCAGGGAAAACTGTTTTTCTTTAAAATTGCCGTTTGAAAGTTTGTGACAAACTGTCAAACTTGGTATACACTTCTTACACCAAACATGATTGGTTTGAAAATAAGGGGATTTGGGGAGAGACTATTTTGACACATGAATTTTTGTGGGAATAAAGAACTGTGAATGAAGCTTTTTAATTCGTTATTAGGGTTGTCAATTTAGAGGTTTTTTAAAGCAAAACACATTGCAAAATGGGGGGTTTTGAAGATTACAAAGGGTGAAGAAATTCAAGCTTGGTGAAAGTTGGATTTTGGAATTTTTTTCTTGTCTACTTTGGATCTGGTGGTGTATTTATTAACATTATTTTTCGATTAAATTCTTATCTGGGTTGAACATTATAGTTGTTAACCAAATCCATAATTTTGATTGTGGAAGACATGTTTTTATTTATTGATGTGTATCGTTTTTATCATTGTGCTTGATTCGATTAATTTTCTTGCCAATTATTAATTGATTTGTACGTGAATAGTAACAAATTAAGATGTGAATTATTAGCTTAAATGAAACATTAAAAAGTGGTAATTTAGCTAAGAGATAAAGATATACTCTTAGCGTGTACTCTAAGAATTATTGCAATCATTTCATGAAATTTTTGGTGGACTAATCATTTAATTAGGTTAAATCTCACTTAGATATATAGTAAGTTGATTTATTTAAGAATAATTGAATTTGTTTGAGAGAGATCAATTATTTTAGAATCCAATGCACAATTGGAATATATGTCACGAATTTTATATGATGAATAAATAGGAAGGATTAAAGTGAAATCATGAGTCTCAGCATTTTTCTCATCGAATTAATTCGTAAAAATCGAGATTGTCCACTCCACAACACTTTAATTGATTTCTTAGTTTAGAATTAGGATAATCACTCAAGTGCAATTTTATGTTTGTCAAATATAAGCTAGTTTATTAAAATCGATATTTAAGTACAACAGTTTGCGTGGGACGTTAAGACAAACTCAAGTTCACCTCATTACTTGCTTAGTGTTGTCGTACATATACGATTATCAATCTATCATATTTTTGGCATCGGTGTGAACTATTTTTATTTGATGTTGATTTTTAGTGAGTTCTTCCTTTTGTTTGAATTTTTTTTATATCTTAATTCTATAAGGTTGATAAAAATTCAATTGACCATTTGAAATAATCGCTATACTTGGTGTGTGACTCGTTGGTTCTTTAGGGTTATGATTATAAAAGGACCAGTCCCATTGTATAAACTAATAACTAATTCATCGCTTTGTATTATCTGAATCTAAAGTAGTAGTCAAGACATAAAAAATCAATCATATCTTTGTAGCAATTGATTATTATTTTTTATTTTGTTGGCATATTCTTGTAAAATAAAATGAAATAAGAAAGGTGTGTATAAATTGAAGGATGAGAAAAGAGAGAGAAAAAGAATATCGCTAATGCAGAATTTCATTAGATAAGATTTACGAGTCATCTTGTAAAAGATAGTGGAATAAAGCATCAATGCTTATTTCTTACATGTGGCTACTATTTAGGCAGAATATCTTCACCCTACCCAAATTCATACTTTGACAGTTTAGCATAAAATTGATGTTCACTCAGAATAATAAACACTGCCCTTAAGTGTTTAATGCAGTCCTCGGGAATAAAGGACTGACGAAATAGGGAAAGAGAACTCTTAAGAGTAAGAGCAGCCCTTCATGTAATGAATCAAGAAAAAAAAGGGAGGTTGGAGCCAATAAAGAGTAAGGAGATTGACTCAAGAAAAAAATTGAATTATGAGCTCCATTTAGAATTTGAACATACTATTAGGTACAAACTGGTGGAAACAATGGAACCTGTGAAATGCAAAAGATTTTATAGAAAAATAAATCTTAATGATTCACTAGTTGGAATGACGAAATTACCGAAGATCAATTTATCTATTGGGAATGTTAAGAAATATAGAATTATTTATTAATTATTAAGGGTAGAATAGTCCTTTTTAGTTTCCTTTGTTTAGCCTATATATATTCTTTTTGTATTTAGGTTAAACCATCTTTTAGCATTCAATTAATTAATGTAGTATCAATGAAACCCTAGCCTTCTCATTTTTCTTTATTTTCTTTTGGATTGTTTAACATGGTATCATAGCTAGATTTCATGGGAAAAAACTTAATCTCAAACACAGCTTTCGTGGATCATTATTTTTGGTATTTCTGCAATCTGGTATTTCTGCAATCTGTTAAATCTGATATTTTTGCAATCTGTTAAATCTGATATTTCTGCAATCTGGTATTTCTGGAATCTGTTATTTTTTTTTTTATTATGGCTACTGAAAGAGACGATTCCCTTCAGTTTGTGAATGTGAGGTTGGATGGAACGAATTATTCGTATTGGAGTTACGTGATGAGAAATTTTCTTAAGGGTAAAAAGATGTGGGGATTCATTAGTGGAACTTCTGTGAAATCTGAGAATACCAATGAGGGTTATGTTGGTTTGATAGATGCTTGGGAAACAAACAATTCAAAAATTATTACTTGGATTAACAACTCTGTGGAGCATTCCATAGGTAGAGAGTTGGCGAAGTATGAGACAGCAAAGAAGGTTTGGGATCATCTGTAAAGATTATTCACTCAGTCAAATTTTGCAAAGCAGTATCAATTGGAGAATTATATACGAGCCCTTCATCAGAATAATATGAGTATTCAGGAATTTTATTCTGCTATGACAGATCATTGGGATCAATTGGCCCTTACAGAATCGATAGAATTAAAGGCATGTGCTGCCTATATTACTCATAGAGAGCAGTAACAGTTGGTACAATTTTTAACGGCACTTCGCAGTGATTTTGAAGGACTCAGAGGTTCAATTTTGCATCGTTCTCCACTTCCTTCTGTTGACTCAGTTATCAGTGAGTTATTGGCTGAAGAAATACGTCTTAAGTCTTACACTGAAAATGGAATTCTTTCTGCTTCTAAGCCTTCTGTATTAGCAGTGTCTTCTAAGCCATCCTCTAATAATCAAAATAAGCTTTACACAAGGGTTGCCTTTGACGAGTGCAGTTTCTGCAAGCATAAAGGTCATTGGAAGGCTCAGTGTCCTAAGTTGAGACAGTCGAATCAATTACAGCAGCAATCTCAAGCTTGGAAGCCTGGCAACCAATCACGATCTAATGCTCATAGACCACCACAATCTAATACTGCAGCAGTAGCTTCATCAGATCCTATCACTGATCCTAGTACTTTGGCTGAGCAATTTCAGAAGTTTCTCTCCTTACAACCTCAAGCTATGTCTGCTTCTTCCATAGGTCAGTGCCTCATAGTTCTTCAGGTATGTCACATTCTGTAGGGGTCTTGGATTCTGGTGCTTCACATCATATGTCTCCAAATTCTTCGTCTTTTGCTTCTGTGTCCCCTTCGTCCTCTATTGCTGTCATGACTGCTGAAGGCACTCTTATGCCATTAGCAGGTGTTGGTTCTGTTGTCACACCTCACTTGTCCCTCCCTAATGTTTATCATATTCCGAATCTCACATTAAATCTTGCTTCCGTTGGTCAGTTATGTGATTCTGGTAATTTAGTCACATTTTCCTCTTCTTCTTGTTATGTGCAGGATCTGCAGTCTCAGAAGCTGATTGGGACAGGCCGTAGGAATGGTGTACTATATATTTTGGATGAGCTAAAAGTGCCAGTTGCTGCTGCCGCTACTAGTGTTGATTTGTCTTCGTTTCGTTTGAGTCCTTCTTCTTCTAGTTTTTATTTATGGCATTCTCATCTAGGTCATGTTTCGTCGTCTCGTTTGAGATTTTTAGCTTCTACAGGGGTTTTAGAAAATTTACACCCTTGTGATATTTCTGATTGTAGTGGATGCAAACTGGCAAAATTTTCAGCTTTATCTTTTAATCAAAGTATTTATGTTTCTTCTTCCCCATTTGATTTAATTTATTCTGATATATGGGGGCCTTCTCCTGTTGCCACAAAAGGAGGGTCTCGATATTATATTTCTTTTATTGATGATCACACTCGTTATTGTTGGGTTTATTTAATGAAACATCGTTCTGAATTTTTTGAGATATACTTAGCCTTTCGTGCTCTTGTTAAAACTCAACATTCTACTGTCATAAAATGTTTTAGGTGTGATTTGGGTGGGGAATACACTTCTAATAAATTTTGTGAGCTGCTTGCTTTAGATGAAACTATTCACCAAATTTCGTGTACAGATACTCTTTAGCAAAATGGTGTTGCTGAAAGAAAACATAGGCACATTGTTGAAACTGCTCGTTCTCTCTTGTTGTCTGCATCTGTCCCTAGTGTGTTTTGGGGTGAAACTGTTCTTACTGCTGTAGGTTTGATTAATACAATTCCATCTTCTCATATTTCAGGGTTTTCTCCTTTTGAAAAGTTGTATGGGTATACCCCTGATTATTCTCTCTTTAGAGTTTTTGGTTGTACTTGTTTCGTTCTTCGTCCTCATATAGAACGCAACAAGTTGTCATCTCGATTTGCAATTTGTGTTTTTCTTTGTTATGGTGAAGGTAAAAAGGGGTATCGTTGTTTTGATCCAATAACTCAGAAATTTTATGTGTCTCGTCATGTTGTTTTTCTCGAGCATATACCTTTTTTTTCTATTCCATCCACTACTCATAGTCTGACTAGATCTGATCTTATTCGTATAGATCCTTTTTCTGACAATCCTGATAGTTTGTCTTCTCAGGAGCCTACTACTTCAAATGTCCATTCTCATATTCCTACCCCGTTGTCTTTACAACCAACTCGTACTAATCATTCCGCAGGTACTGACATTTTACTCTCCGGCACACCTGAAGCGTCTTCTTCTCCTACGATCCCTCAAGCTCCATCTGAGATTGTGGATCCGCCTCTACGTCAATCCATACACATTTGTAAGTCTACAAAGTTACCAGATTTTGCTTATTCTTGTTATTCTTCATCATTTTCTACCTTTTTAGCTTCTATTCATTGTCTCTCTGAGCCCTCTTCCTATAAAGAGGCAATTCTTGATCCTCTTTGGCAGCAAGCTATGGATGAGGAACTTTCTGCTTTGCATAAGACTGGTACTTGGGATTTGGTTCATTTACCTTCTGGTAAGAGAGTTGTTGGTTGTCGTTGGGTGTATAAGATCAAGACTAATTCTGATGGGTCAATTGAGCGATACAAAGCTAGGTTGGTTGCAAAGGGATACTCTCAACAGTATGGTATGGATTATGAGGAGACATTTGCTCCTGTTGCAAAAATGACTACTATTCGTACACTTATTGCAGTAGCTTCGGTTCGTCAGTGGCTTATCTCTCAACTTGATGTTAAAAATGCCTTCCTGAATGGAGATCTTCAAGAAGAGGTTTATATGGCACCCCCTCCTGGTGTTTCACATGATTCTGGGTATGTTTGCAAGCTCAAGAAACCGTTGTATGGTCTCAAACAAGCACCTCGTGCTTGGTTTGAAAAATTTTCTGTTGTGATCTCTTCCCTTGGATTTGCTTCTAGTAGTCATGATTCTGCTCTTTTTGTTAAGAGCACTGATGCAGGTCGTATCATTCTATCTTTATATGTTGATGACATGATTATTACTGGTAATGATATTGATGGTATTTCAGTTTTGAAGACAGAGTTAGCTAGACAGTTTGAAATGAAAGATTTAGGTTCTCTACGATATTGTTTGGGTATTGAGGTAGCCTTCACACCCAGAGGTTATCTTCTTTCTCAGTCGAAATATGTTGCGGATATTCTTGAGCGGGCAAAACTTACTGATAATTAGATTGTTGATACTCCAATTGAGGTTAACGCGAAGTATTCTTCTTCTGACGGTTTACCTTTGTCAGATCCTACTTTATATCGTACTATTGTTGGGAGCTTGGCATATCTCACTATTACTCGTCCAGATATTGCATATGTTGTTCATATTGTTAGTCAGTTTGTTGCTTCTCCCACTACAGTTCATTGGGCAGCTGTTCTTCGCATTTTGCGATATCTTCGGGGTACAGTCTTTCAGAGTCTGTTACTTCCATCCACCTCCTCCTTGGAGCTGCGTGCATACTCTGATGCTGATCATGGCAGTAATCCCACAGATCGCAAGTCTGTTACTGGTTTCTGTATCTTTTTGGGCGATTCTCTTATTTCTTGGAAAAGTAAGAAACAATCTATTGTTTCTCAATCTTCTACCGAAGCAGAATATCGTGCTATGGCATCTACTACTAAAGAGATTGTTTGGTTACGTTGGTTACTTGCAGATATGGGAGTTTTTCTTTCTCATCCCACTGCTATGTATTGCAACAACCAAAGTTCTATTCAGATTGCTCACAACTCGATTTTTCATGAACGAACTAAGCACATTGAGATCGATTGTCATTTTACTCGTTATCATTTCAAGCATGGCACAATTACTTTGCCCTTTGTTTCTTCTTCTTTGCAGCTTGCAGATTTTTTTACCAAGTCGCATTCTATTTCTCGGTTTCGTTTTCTAGTTGGCAAACTCTCGATGCTTATAGCTGCCGCATCATGAGTTTGAGGGGAGATGTTAAGAAATATAGAATTATTTATTAATTATTAAGGGTAGAATAGTCCTTTTTAGTTTCCTTTGTTTAGCCTATATATATTCTCTTTGTATTTAGGTTAAATCATCTTTTAGCATTCAATTAATTAATGTAGTATCAATGAAACCCTAGCCTCCTCCTTTTTCTTTATTTTCTTTTGGATTGTTTACAGGGAAAAGTCTCAAATGAATCCTATGAATGAAAGAGAGATTGACATAGTAAATATTTGCCAGCGATTTTTTTCCTTTTTTTTTTTAGTTGCTAAACTTGGATAAATGCGAGAACAAAATAAAGATTTCTTATAACATTCTAAAAAAATATTTTTTACAAAAATGTTAATCATTCCGATTAAATATTTATAATCAAACTGATTCTGTATATAATGTGTTCAATAGGTAGAGATCTTCTGTAGAATTCAGAGATTGAACATACATGTAGACTAAGAGAACAAAAAGAAAAATAAATTTGTTTCAACAAATTACGATGAGCGATAATCTCTCAATTCTTGACTCCATAAATTGCTCAAGGACAATATAACACTGTTTATGCAATGTTTGGCAACCAAACTTCGAACTAAGGCACGTGTCATTGATTTTTTTATTTTTCAATAGACTCGAGTTTCATGGGAAGGCATCTTATGGCATCTTGGGTTCCAATAGCGTAACCCTTGTTTGAATAATTGAGCCCAAATTGAACTAGAGTACGTGTTTTCATTAGGCTTTTTTTTTTATTTAAAGTAAAGCGCCATCACAGTCTATTGTACTTGGTTTACCAATCCAAGTGCTCCGTCTTCAACTTCCTGCTTGACCTGATCTTGAATTTCATGGTGCTTTTTAGGAGGTAATTTTCAAAAGAACCTAGTCAAAAAATCACTTTGTGACATTGACCAAAATTTTTTTGCACTCACCAAAAGGGTATTTTGAAGAGTGAATATTGTTTTTGCCCTTATCATGTTTTGTAATTACAAAAATGTATTATTTGTTCAAAAGACAATAATACCTTCTTTCAAAATATTAATAAATCCAAACACTTCCACTTAAATTTCAAAACGAAATCACTTTACTTATCAGATTCTCCAACACAATTAAAAAGAAATTTCTCATTCCATCTGCTTGAACATTGAAATCTCACAAAATTATCAAAGGCTCAACAAAAAAATATTACTCACAGCCAGCACTCGAAATTGGTAAGTATAAATACATATTTTTAATTTCATTTTTGCTAAATTAGTACATTGTTTGAATCTTTAAATCTTATTTCAGCGTATAATTTTAGAAAAATAAATTTTTATAGTTTTAAACGGATGTATAATTTTTTCTTTTAGCAAAAACGAGAAAAAAATCATCTGTTTAGTAAAAATCAGCAAAATGGTCAGACAGACAGCCGGCCCAGGCGTCTGGGTCGAACGTTAACATCCGATTCGACTGTTTACATTCGGCCCGAACACCTGGGCCTTTTTTTTAATGTGTGTGTGTGTCTTGCCTAACATATTTTTTTTCATTTTTTATTATCGTAATTACAATTTTTTTAATAAATGATGTTTCCTAATGCAGCTATAGGATCAACTGCTGTCCCAATTTGTTACTGTGATGAATTTGAAATGAATGAAAATGATCGATGGGTGTGAAAATGGATGAGTGAACGACATGGTTGTACTGCAATTGTGATAACATCAAATACATCATATGCATAAATGTACAATGAGATACAAAACTTGCTGAAAGTCGATCCCTTTGAATACGATATGGAATTGGGATTTCTAATGGACGAGCATACATCCATTTCAATTCAACCTATAATGGTTACTTCTGAAGCTGAAATGAAGGTTTTAATTGAAATGAATTAGAAGCGTGCGATTCTTATTTGCGTAACTTTGATGAAGAAGAATGTCCTCGAGAGTGAACACGAAGATTTCAATGGAGGGGATTGTAATGTGAATGAGTTTTGGGACACAGTGAAGATAGTTCGTGATGATGTTGTGGCTATTCCAGAGACAGTTGCTCATCACCATGATCTCACTTTTACACACAGAATTTGCTCGATAGTTCAAGATAACGAAAGAGATAATGACTTTACAAATGAGAATTTGATTGCTTTATTCGGTCTGAGACACGAGTCAAGTGGGAGCTCACAGGCTAGACCGACTGCATGGTCCTCTAATTGTTCGCGTGTAGTCCCCGATGATGAAAATTTGTATATCAAGCAACTGTTTGACACGAAGAAAGATTTGCAAGAAACTATTCACCGAATTGCTTTAAAACACAATTTTGAGTTTAAAGTGAAAAAATCAAAAAAATCGACTTACACAATTGTCTGCGTTAACGACAGTTGCCTTTGGCGTTTGCGAGTAACGAAAATAGACACAAATGAGTTCTTTGTAGTTCGTAAGTATGCACGAGTACATACTTGCAAAGTGAATATTCGTCGAAATAATCATAGGCAAGCCCGATCATGGTTCATTGGTCGAGAAGTAATGTACAGGTTTCAGAATCTACGAACAATCTACAGACCTTCGGACATCATTAATGACGTTCGTCGAGAGTACGGGGTGGTCGTGAGCTATCAAAAGGCTTGGAAGGCCAAAGAATGTGCGTTGGAGGACTTATTGGGTTCAACCGAGGAGAGTTATGCTAAATTAGCCAGATATTTCTTTATTTAGATGTTTATTTAATATTTATTTCAAATGTTAATTACTCATTTCAATTGTTTAATTAATTATTTAATCAATTGTTTGCTTAATGTCTAACTAATTATTTAATTGAATCATTAATTTCAATTGTTTATTTAATTATTTATTGATTCCTTATTTAATGTCTAATTAATTATTTAATTCAATTATTAATTTTTCAGTTTATATAATATTATTTATTTAATTATTTAAATTATGATTATCGTTTATTTAAATTGGTCAGGTTTTGCTATAACAAGGGAATAATTAATACTGGATCGACATTTTTTTATTGAGAATGATGACGAGAATCGCTTCAAGTATTTCTTTATAGCCCTTTGACAATGTGTTCAAGGATTTCGAAACGCAGTGCAACCCATAATCCTAGTCGACGGTACAACTCTTAAGGCAAGATACGGGGGCAAGTTGATTATTACAACATGTCAAGATGCTAACATCCAAATTTACCCTCTTGCATTCGACATAGTCAATGGAAAAAATGATTTAGCAATGCGTTGGTTTTTTTACGAAGTTGAGGGAAGTAATTGAGAATGTTGAGAACCTCGCATTCGTAACCGATCGAAGGTAGTCAATAATTAACGGTATCGCCGAAGTCTTCCTTGAGGCATATCATGGTTATTGTATGTACCATATACAAGAAAATCTGAAAATCAAGTATCGAGGCAAGGACATCGTTACGTTATTTAGAAAAGCTGTAAAAGCTTACAGTTTTCAAGAATTTGAAAAGTTTATTATCGAAATAGAAAGTAAATCCTATGATGCATGGGAGTATCTGACAGAGATGGGCATCGAACATTGGGCACGATCACATTTTCTAGGACGTAGATACAACATGATGACGTCGAACAATGCGGAGTCGCTCAATGCCTTATTCAAGAAAGATCGAGAGTTACCAATTCTCGCAATGCTTGAGAACATTCGTGATAAGTTGCAACAATGGTTTCATGATCGTCGTGAGGAATCACAGTGTTGCATAAGTGTGCTAACCCCGACTCAGGAAGATAAACTCTTCAAGACTCTAGATGTAGCAAGAAAGGTATGTGTAGAACCACTGGATCAGTTTCGCTTCTTCGTGAGATGTGCACGTAATTTCGGATACATCATCGACTTGAATAATAACACGTGTACATGTAGACAGTTTCAGTTGGAGAGTTTTCCGTGTACACGTGCAGTGGCAGTGGCTATGTATAGAGGAATTCTACCACACACCTTATGCAGTGCTTATTACACGACTGGTTCTTGGAGAGTAGCATATGTCGAAACCATATTTCCTGTACCGAATGAAGTTGAGTGGGAAGTTCTCGGTCACATTCTCTCATTGAATAACTTGTTGTCACCAGCACTCAGCCCACGTACTCCTGAATGTATACGAACGTCTAAAATACCATCGATCGGAGAATTTCTACGACCTTGTAAGTGCGACAGGTACGGTGCAACAGGACATACTAAAAGATTTTGTACAAGTCAGATCTCTCTACATGACAACGTAACAGATGTATAACTAATGTTTATGTAATATTATTTGTAACATTGATGTTAATTATTTATGCATATTCTTAATGTTAATTATTAGATTTAATTTTTTTATTTCAATATTTCATTAATTAGTTTCGTAGTAATTGAAGTTTTTTTTAAACACAGTACGTTCTTCACAATATACTCAAACATTATAAATACGTCATGAAACATTTAAATAAACACATAAATTATAAAATAAAAATTAAATATTAGAAAAATAATATACGTTTTACAATTATTTTATAACTACAAATGAATGAATGAAATATACAATGTTTAGATGTTACAATATGTACAATTATTTTAAAAAATGCGGCTCCAATATCTATGGATCACCATTAAATTCAAATAAATCACAAGCTAATTTATTTATCCAATTTTGTATCCGTGCCTGGTTGATTGCATCAACCTTCTGTGGTACACTCAAAAATTCTATATACTTGATGACGAACATGTCGTAATCACCCCTATAATTACAAAATATTGTAGTAGCACATTATCTTCTAACTAGAACGTTCGTTGTAAATTAAAAAATAAAATAACAAACACTTACGATATTTGCTGTCTCGCCGTCGTCGTGTCCCGCACGGTGGCCAGTCTATCTTGCACAGTGATGTTCGCTCGCCTAGCCGGCATGGGGACGATCACGGACACCGACTCCAAATTTTTCTCGAATTGACCTTGTGTCGGGAATGAATGATCGAGGTCATACACATACATAGTTGAATCGGCGAATACAATCTCCACTGTAATGTAGTGATGATTCACACACACTGGGATATACAGATGCGTACAACCCTCCCATGGCTATCTCCTGACACTCGGCCACATCCCTACGACCTACTCCATCATGTATGTAGGCATCGTGTACTCGCTACCCATAGCTTGGAGCATCTGTAATCAATGTCAACGGCACGTATGAACTCAGTGTTCAATATGAGTCGGCCAGGAATGTTGAACAATCTTGGATGACTTTCAGCTCAATCTCGTAGCAAATCCATGGCGAAGTCAATGTGCTGTATAAGGAAACACCAATTAAAAAAGGAGTTATTTAATTTCATAAATTCAAAAACTCAAAAATATGTATACGTAATAAATAACAATATTACTACTTCACTTATATCGTCGGCAAGCCAAGCCCTCGAAGTAGTGATGTCGTAAAAACACTTGTAAGCGTCCGAAATCGTCTTATGAGCAATCTTGCGGCTGGCTTTGAAAAAATAAGAAAAGAAATTGTTAAATATAGATGTGTCAGCATCTGCATAATGTACTAATCCTTAATGAATAATATAATACTTACCCAGACGTAAATTCTCTCCACTCCGTTTCGAACTCTTTCTACTTGGCGTGGTCCACCTCCCTGAATAAATTGGGGTGCATGCCGTCGACGAACCTCCTCCTCTTCGTTTTCGTGATAAACAGAGAAACGACGTACTGTAATGGTGCCCTCGGCCTCTTGCTGACCACCAGCTCCGACACGCAACACCTTCTCGATCTCCGGTATCCCCTCACCTACCATCGGGACCGCCTCTTTTGTCCCCTCCGACACAAAAACTACGTCCGACGATTCTAGCATCCGAGATGGTACCCCCTCTTCCTTCGGCACCCTCCTGACCCCCGCCTCAGGTACCCCCTCCTCCTCCGACACCCTCACGACCTCCTCCTCCGGCATCCTCCCGACCTCCGCCTTAAGTACTTCATTGTCCTCTGACACCCTCACGACCTCCTCCTCCTCTGGCACCCTTTCGACTTCCGCCCCGAGTACCCCGTCCTCCACCGATACCCTCATGACCTTCTCCTCCGAAACCCTCTCGACCTCATTCTCGGGTACCCCCCGTCCTCTGGCACCCTCACGACCTCCTCTTCCTCCGGCACCCTCTTCAATTTTTCACTTCAGGTACCCCCTCCCCCGACACCCTCACGACCTTCTCCGGCACCCTTTCCACCTCAAGTATTCCCTCTGCCTCCATCTCCATCAGGGCATGATCCTCCATCTCCATCTTTATCGGGCCACCGAGATATGAAGCTAATGCATCATCCGATGCCCACAACGAGTCAACGTATCCCCTCGACCCTGATAACCACCAGTCCCTCCACCACCCCCCGATCCCGATACTCACCAGTCCCACTTTGATACCCGCCAGTCCCACGCAGGCCTGCTATGTCGCCCCGTATCGCTACGATCCAAGCATAAAGCTCTCTTAAACCGACTTGTACTATCCCGACATCATGTCGTAAGTCAGCTACTTCGCCTCGTAAGTCTGCTACGTCGCCTCTGATCTCCATCATAAGTCAGAACATGTCATCGATGAAAGCACTCTGATTATGTTAAACATTTACCTGCAAACCTAACGATATGCCATATATATCATACTTACGCTTCGGCTTGTCTCCCCTAGGCATCGAATGCCCCCTCCTGAAGACGCATAAAGTATCGACAAAACATCTCTGCCCCCATGGATAGTCGTTGAACGTATCGATGCCATCAACAACTTGCAAATGAAAAACGTCAATCGACGTCTTCTTGTGATGACACCTTAGTACGCTCTCGAGAATAAACACCGTCTCCAACTTCAACTTGTCGGACATCTGGTCACATCCCTGAATGCATCTCCTAACTGTACCAGTGTCACTGTCGTGTACCATTAAAATAATCATTCAACAGCTCCTTGTCTGTCGGATATTGGCCCTCACCACCTCTTCGCCTGTACATCTCAATCTAGTGATGAGGGCAAACTCGAATATGGAAAATGTAGTAATCTTGCCCCCAAGATCAAAGTGAAGGGCATCTCCATCAACTGGTTTAAGCAATCGACATAGTAATGAATCGATCAATTGTCCAGAAAACAGTACAAAGCGCAGCGAATACAGGGGCCATAGGCAGGATCGACGTAATATCTCTGCGTGCTCCTCGTCCAAAGAATCCAACACTTCTGTGAAGCTGGCAAAGTTACAAATGGTAATCTATCCTGCAAAATTTCAAATGTTAGAACATTTGAAACAGAATGTCACAAAATCCTACTAATCGAACTGTAAGTAATATACGCACGAAATAACAGATAATAAAGAAATGAATTACAAAATTAGAAAACAAATTATAAAAAGCGAAAAACTAATTTTTGTAAAAATAAAAAATAAAAAAATTCATAGTTTATTTTAATTCTTTATTATTTATTTCAATTATTTATTTAATTAATTTTGATTATTTATATTTAATTACTTATTTAAATAAATTACTTTGAATATTTATATTTCTTAGTTATTAAATTACTTTTTTTATTTAAATGTTCATTTTTTATTTCAATTGTTTATTTAACATTTATTTTGATTGTTTATTGAATCTTAATTTTAATTATTTATTGTAATTGTTTATTTAATTACTTTTATTAAATTATTTATTGAACGTTTAAATGTAAATATGTAATTATTTACATATTGTTAGATATTTATTTCAATTGTTTATCTAAATTTTAATTACTTACTTTGATTATTTTTATTTGTTTATTATTTCAAATATAATTATTGTTTGTTCATTCTTTATTTCAATTGTTTTTCATTTATTTGTTTCAATTGTTCATTTAAATTATTTGATTTAATTATTTATATTTATTGTTTATTTAAATTATTTATTGAACAAGTAAACGTAAATATTTAATTATTTATTTTAAATGTTAGAAATTTATTTCAATTAAATTTTAACTACATATTTTGATTATTAATATTTATTCATTATTTACATTTTTAATTATCATTTAAATAATCATTTCGTTATTCTTTAAATGTTCATTATTTATTTTTGTGCATTTAAATTAATTATCTATTCATTCTTTATTTCAATTGTTTTTCATTTATTTGTTTCAATTGTTCATTTAAAATATTTGATTTAATTATTTATATTCATTGATTATTTTAATTATTTAATGAACAAATAAACGTAAATATTTAATTATTTATTTTAAATGTTAGAAATTTATTTCAATTAAATTTTAAGTACATATTTTGATTATTAACATTCATTCATTATTTAATTTTTTTATTTATCATTTAAATAATCATTTCATTATTATTTAAAAGTTCATTATTTATTTTTGCGTATTTAAATTAATTATTTATTCATTCTTTATTTCAATTGTTTTTCATTTAGTTGTTTCAATTGTTCTTTTAAATTATTTGATTTAATTATTTATATTTATTGATTATTTAAATTATTTATTGAACATATAAATGTAAATATTTAATTATTTATTTTAAATGTTAGAAATTTATTTCAATTAAATTTAATTACATATTTTGATTATTAACATTTATTCATTACTTACATTTTTATTTATCATTTAAATAATCATTTCATTATTATTTAAATGTTCATTATTTATTTTTGTGTATTCAAATTAATTATTCATTCATTCTTTATTTCAATTGTTTTTCATTTATTTGTTTCAATTGGTCATTTATATTATTTATATTCATTTATTATTTAAATTATTTATTGAACAAGTAAATGTGAATATTTAATTATTTATTTTAAATGTTAGAAATTTATTTCAATTAAATTTTAATTACATATTTTGATTATTAATATTTATTCATTATTTACATTTTTTATTTATCATTTAAATAATCATTTATTTATTATTTAAATTTTCATTATTTATTTTTGTGTATTTAAATTATTTATTCAAATACAATGAAAAAAATTGAGGAAAAATTCATGGACCGCCATCTGGAAAAGACGGCCTGGCCGTCTGGACACCTTTCTTCTTCGACCAGGTGCTGGAGATCGCCATTTCCAGTAATTTCAAAGAGTCTACAATTGTGATCTTCGATCCAAAAGCACATCAAAAAATGCAATTTTCAGTAATTTCACATAATCTACAAGGATTTCTACCACTATTTGCAACAAAATAAGCCTTCAACATCCAATTTCAAAGATTAATGGGGGAAAAATAAGCAAAACTTACCTTCTTTGTCTCTAATGGTGACCGGTCGGTCTCCTTCTAAAAAAAAGTCGTCGATTTATTTGCTATTTCTTCTCCAGACGTCAGTTTGAGAGTGATTTGTTAGAGGCAATATTAAGTTTTCATTGTTTTTAAGGTTTTTACAGCTTTTTCAATTTTTATTTTTTTTAAACAGTAGTCAATGATATTTTAGAAAAATGGCTCTTTTGGTTGGCTATCTACCACCATTTCCTCGCTTTTTAGGTTACTAAGATTTTCCTATCATGATATAAATGATTAAATGATAGGAGGAGGTATATACCTAACATCTAGTCAAAGGAATAAAAACTGAAAATAATAAATGAGGAAATACTAACTCATATATATAGGCCTCTAAACGTGAAAAATCCATGAAACTAGTCAAGAGGGCATACTTGTAATAGCAGCTTCGCTCCCATTAGTTAATCTGTCTTATCATAGTTATTGTCGTTAACCAAATACGCCACCACACATTGACTTGCACCCAAAGCATGAAAAATTTCATCCGACAATTTTTTTCCACAAGAAGATTGAAATCATAACAAAAACTGAAGAAAGAAAAAATATAATTTCAGTGGGAAATAAAAGAAGCCAGACGCTTGATCAGATCCTTTGCTTTCTCTGTTTCAGGATTCAAGACATGAAAGCAATGATCTTCTCCTTCAACCTCCACTATCTCCACCTCCCCATTCCAACCACTTTTCTTTACGGTCTCAACATAAAGAATTCCTCTCGACGTCAATGAATCTTTCTCTGCTAAACAAACCAGCAGCCTTGAACACCCCAGCCCCGATAAACTCGGTGCATCTTCAACAAATGGATTGATCATAGCATTGTCAATCCCACCAGGAACTGATGGATAAACAAATAACCAAATCTTATATAGTAGACTCTGCTCAATTTCTTCTTTTGTTTCGGACCCAAGTGGCTTTGACCCCCAGAAGTAAGGATGAGATAGAAATCCACCCACGATTTTCACATCCCCAGGTAAAGGTTCTGCCCCAGCTCGGAGAAGAATATTATGAACTATATTGCCTCCAGCACTGTCACCACCTATATAGATCTTACTGAAATCACCGTGCTCAGTTAGCCATGGTTCCTTTTCGATGCCAGGGTTTTCAGTAAGGTGAGAAGCTACCCATTGAAGAGCAGTCCAGGAATCTTCATAGGCTATAGGCAAAGGGTTTTCAGGGGCGAGCCTGTATTCAACAGAAACGACTAAAGCTTTTGCTGTAGCGGCTAATATGTTAATGTAACGGTTCTCGAGGAAAGTGAAGGCGGATCCGAGACAAAATCCACCGCCATGGTAATAAACCAAAACTGGGAGCTTTTGGTTTGGTTCTTTGAGTTTTGGGAGGTATAGTCTGGCTTGAACAACTGGCGAAATGTTTAAGTCTTTAGAAACTACGCCGTTGACAGCATCGTCCGGCGACGGAGGAACATGGGGTGAATCGATGAGCCTCTCGACTGTACCATCTTTGTATAGTTTGATAATCGGAGAGAGGTCGGTGAGAACCTCTTTGGCGGTGTCCGAAGCCATGGCAGTGTGGTTGATAGAAAGAGAACCAGTAGATAGTGTTAGATTTGAAGATTTTACACAACATTTGTAAAAGTCAATTGTATATGCCAAAAGATTCCGTGTCAAACTTGACTAGATCGATTGAATTGTTTTTGTTTTTCCATATTTAAAAATTCTTATTCCAGATCCTACGTAATTGTGAAGAAAAATCGTAGGGGCCCATAAAGATTGCATTTTAAACGATAACTTTCGAGGGTTTAATTTAATTGGTTTGCTTCATGAATGATATCGATGTGTTGAACTGAATTATTTTGCTGCTATATGATCGTCGATTAAATATATAGTTTAGTAGGTTTTTCAACATGCAAAATAACTTAATTAGCAGCAGATTTATGCTCGGTGTATAGTTATAATCTAAGATATTGATTCATTATTAGGGTTGTCAATTTAGAGATTTAAAAAAAAAAAAAAAAAAAAAAAAAAAAAAAAAAAAAACAAAAAGGGGGGGTTT